GTAAGGACTGTGCATTTGCAATCTTCTCTTTTATATTAAACTCACACCCCTGAAGCCTTCCAAAACTTGATCCTAGTGATGGCATCCCTTCCAACCCTAGGCAATGGCCTAGCCTATTGGCCCTGCATGGCTCTATGATCCCTAGGACAGAGGCAAAGACATACTTTTCACAAGCAACTACTGATTCAAGATAATTCCACTAATAAGTGGCATCTAAAGACACATGCTTTACACTTCGAACAATCAGTATCTGATAGTCTTTGAAACTGGTCTCTACATTTGGACTTCTTAATGTTTGTGAATCACTTAAAAATTTGGAGTACTTTTCCAATTTTTAAAATAATACACTGTATAAACAGACTATATAAAATCTTTTCAGGTGCCTGTTTGGGAATGTGCTCTTACTAAGTTTTGTCACAATGCAATGCTGTGGGTGAGCTGAGAGAATAGAAGAAGTTTCCAACAGTAATGAATCTGCCACTCTAATAATTTATGAGCCATTTTTTCAAACATCAGCTATCAGATAGAAGTGGGAGGAATAATAGAATATAACTTCTGCTTTACAATAGTCTGTTAATATAGAAAGACAAAGGCGCCTGTACTCTAAGGAAGCTGTCAGCAAAGTAGCAGGCTGGAGGTCCCAGTATCACTTACAGTACTGGCAAGCAGGAGGCCATTTCTGGGGAATGAAGCTTGAGGAGGGAAGCAAAAGAAAAAGGCTATGGGGGGGTAGAAGGAGAGAATCAAGGACCTTTCTTCACCATTCTTTTTTTATAGCTTTTGTGTGTCTGGACTGATTTGTTGTGGGAGAGCTGCTGGAGACAGTATATTTGGCACAGGACAGGATAGCTCAAAGCCAAAAGGATGGTGCTATTGCCAGTTTAAACCATGGCTTTTCTTTTATTTTTTTTCCCCTCCCTCTTTTTTCTTTGAAGGAAGGAAAAGAAAAAAGGGGAAGAAAGGAACTTGCAATGAAAACCAGAGCAGTGGGTTAACAACGACCCTGCAGGCTTCAGTAGACTGGAAAGATACACGAGGCACTTCCTCTACCATCTGGCATGCAATTCTGCTGCTGCTGCTGCTCTTAGTACATAACTTCAGAGTGAATAAGCAAACAAATAAAACTTTTTAAGAGACACTAATTATGAAACACCAGCTATTAATCTGCCAGCTTACTCTCTTCCCTTTTCTCCCACCACAGTATTCCTTTCCTCAAGTCTTTTCCAGTTCTCTTGTCTACCTATGAAAATAGGCACTGCCTTGTCATGTTTTCAGATGATTCTGTTCACCTTTTGCTTGGTATTGGTTCTCAGGATGAATGAAGGCCAGAGCTAATACATTCATATTTCTCTCATAATCACTTCAGCTTCTTTAACTCCGAGTCAGATAGAAATGCAGTTAGTAGAAGTAAAGCCATCCATCACTGTTGAATGATTTCCTTCAAGTCTGGCTAGAAGTGAGAATGCAAAAGAGAAGTTTTAGGTCAGCTGAGCTTGCTCAAAGACTGTTTAAAATGCAGTCACAAACAGCTGGATACATTGCTGTGTAGGAGTATCTTTTAGTTCTGATGGCTTTTCTCAAGTGCAATGAAAAGCATGATGCTGAGGTCACATCTTCAAGTTAGGTAAAACACTACACCGCAACCAAAGTCAGAGAAACAGAGAACTTGCAAAATCTGAGCATTCTGTCAATTAGAAGTCTCTGAGAATGATGCTACAGCTGATTTTGGATGCTAAAGACTCTCCTAATCAAGCATAGATCTTCCAGGCTTTCCTGTGACCAGCTTTTATGTGGGTCCATTCTTATAACAAAAAAGACAAAAAGAAAGTCAGTTACAGAAAAATCTTGGATGAATTAAGGATAAATAATCATTGAATTGTAGTACAACTGTGAAGCAGAAGTTTATTAAGAATGAGATGCATTAATTTACAGACACACCCATTAATGCCAAGCAACAATTTTTACACTTCTTTTTTTTCATTTGCAACTGCTGATCCTTACACTGGCCAGGATTTAAAAAAGAAAATCCAGCCTACCTAGAACAGTTGTTTTCATTTGACCATAATTTTCCAAGAAAAAAAAATACATACTGTCTGTTAGGTTTATTATGTAGCTTCTCCAAATACAGAAACCATAACAACAACAGATTTCAGTTTCACTTTGGTTTTTGACTGGCCTCCTGCTTTGCATCTGTAGAACTGTAAGTGAAAACAAATACAACAATCCTTCAGTTTTGGCTGCCTGATCCTATCCAAAGACAGGTACATACCCAAGTGGCCCAACTAGAGGTCGTACAAAAGTTTCACAGATTTAAGGATAAAAAAAGGTAGTGTAGACTTTAAAAACTCAGAAGATTGCTATTGCTGCTACCAAGAAGGCTAGTGGCTAAGTTCTGTTGAACACTTAAATATTCAGATATTAATCTAAAAATTGGTCTGGGCACCCGTGAATACACTGTCTTCCAAGATGTCTTGTATCTTTTATCATAGAATCAGCAAGGTCAGGAAAGACCTCTGAGTCCAGCTTTTGGCAGAACACCACCTTGTCAACTAAACCATAGCACTAAGTGCCACATCCAATAATTTCTTGACCATGTTTTGCATCCAGTAAAGCTGGAAATGCCAGAAGGACAGCCTTAACTTCACAGTGCTCTGGCACATCTGCTCTTTGCCCCAATGGGGACCACAAAGCACAGAGGAAAAACCATAACTGAAAAAAGTTACTGCAATTCCTTGTAGCTCAAAACTAAAATTAATCAGTTGGGGTGTAAGGTTTAAACCACCCAGTAGGCAAAGAATCTTCAAAGTCTTTTGGACTTCAGTTGCCTGGTTTATCCCCTTCTGACAGGAATATTGCTTTAAAAAGTAATTGCACAACATGCACTAATATGAAAAACCTACAATATCTCAAGAAACCATATGAAATTAAAAACAATAAAATTTGCCTTTCTATAACCACAGATTGTAGGAATGTGTTAATGCTTGTGCTACTGTACTGCACCATCTATTTGTTTTCTTTGTTCTTAACCCCTTTGTTTTATGAGTCAGGATATCCTGATGCAAAGGACTCTGCAAAATATCAGGACAACAACAATAGTATAATACTTTGGAAGTGCTTCACAATTTTCAAGACAGAGCTACTAAGGCTAATAATACGGCACTGCAGTCTGTAGTCAAAACTTTTGCAAACCATTAAAGTTGTGAGTTTGAGGTTGGAACATTAAGATAAGCAAGGCAGAGGATTCTATAAGAGGGGAAACAGCACGCTGACGCTGCTTATGTTGATGTGAGGAGGAAAGGCTTGTGCACGCTGTTTTCTACATGTAAGGGTGTTAATTTTCAGTCCATTCTCTTGGTTTCTCTTCCTCTGTAACGGAAGATCCTGCTTGTTTGCCAGTTTTCTTTTCCATCTGGAGAGATGGCAGAACATTGAATGTAACCTGGAGAAGATAAATGCATTAACTATGCATGCTAGGAAATATTATAATGTTTAGTCAAATCCAACTAAATAAGTCCTCTGCAATTTACTGAAAACTAAGTGCTGGTGCAAAAGCTCACCCTCCACCCTTCTGCTGTACACTCAGTAAAGTAACAACTAAGGGACAGACCAGTACCAACAGCAGGCTAAAAGGGATATATTGTATAAAGGCAATATAAAAGTTGTGAAAATCGCATGGCCTCTCCGGGTCAGGGATCCCAGGGAAGAGCCCGTGCTGTTGCAGGGCCTGGCCCGAGGCATCCCACAATCCCGAGGAAGCACTCGCTGACAGCTGCACAGCCCCACCACGCCACCTCATTGCCGCTGCATGAGACACAGCACTGTCCCGGGCGCCTTTCCCTTGTTTTTAAAGATTAGTGATGAATAATTTTCTCCTCGTCGTAGTCCGTGAGCGATGGCTACCACCAGGCAGTGTCCTAACGTGAACCCATTCAGGTGGAGTTTTGCAGCCGAAGCGACGAGGACCCCGCACCCTCCCCCAAAACCCTCCTTTCAGCAACTCGTTCCTCCCCGATCCCTCCTGAGCCGTCACCTTCGCTGCCCTTCTGCAGGCGCGGACGGGGCGGGCGTACGAACGCAGGGCAGGCGGGGGCACCGCACGCCGCCAGCGGGGCTTGTGCTCCGCTCCCGGCCCTCGCAGCGTCCCATGAATCACCGCCCTTCTCCCGCCGAGGGTAGCCGAGGTGACGGCGGGGTTTGACTAAGAGGCCAAAACCCCCACCGGCTCCGTAGCCAGCCGAGCGAGGAGGAAGGCGGGGCGGTGGGAGCTCCCCCATGGCATCGCCGCAGGGATAAAGTCAATCCGCCCCCGCCGTAGCGCCCAGCGGGGTTTGAGGGGCGGCTCTGCCGGGGCAGCCCCTCTGCCCGCGGCTGCCGGGCTGCGCCGGCCCGAGCCCACGCCCCCGGTCCCGGCGCTGCGCCGCTCCGGCATGAGCGGCAGCTCCGCGCCTGCCCGCCAGCCGCTGCGCCCCGGCTGCCGGCGCCTGGCGGCGGGCTGAGGGCGCGCAGAGGGCGGGCGGCG